TGTCTATAATATAAACCCTGCAATTAGTAGAGCTTTCCCGTCGAGGCCACTATCTGCCCCTCTGATCCAACATTGCAAACCTGCTACACCGGATCAAACTGATTCTTTTATCGATGTAGACTCTACTCAATATCGATCAAGTTCACTACCTTATTGCCTTGAAATGACGCTAGCTGGGCTCATCACTCGACTTTCTGACACTGGACTTCACCTACTCGCTGGTTGCTTAGCCCCGCTTGGCTCCCGTCGTATTACAGCCAGGCAAGCACTAAAGGCTACTTTCTTTTCTCCGTCAGAAAAATTAGAACTAAAACCAGATAAATTGAAGACCATTTTGCCAAAAGTCCTCATACAAGATTCTTTGACCAATGATGAAACAAAAGCAATGACCTCTCCGCTCAACAAAGTAGGTAATGATCAGCTCACTATGCAGAAAGTTGGCGACGCCCGATACTTGGCACTGCCTGACAATAATCACGCCCAATTGGCACGTCGAAAACGGCTTTGCTTGGAATCAATCTCGCAAACTGAATTGGAGAGAAGGGATAAAAGAGTGCCGGCACTGCTATCCACGTCCCTTTGTAGGTATTGTCCTAGTGGCCGAAATGAAATTAGTAGATTAAACAAAGGAAGATCTGCAAGTATGGAGGAAAGATTCCCAGATACTTCGATTTACTCCATTAACCAAACCAGTGAATGTCTTGCCTGCATTGAACTGGACAGCAAACTGCCGCAAAAACGAAATTTCGAAGAGGGATCAACTATAAAATCTTTCCGACAATCCTCTTTCACCTCATCATTACCAATGTTGAACACAAGTGTCGAAAGGTCTGGTACTGCTGCGTTACGACATGAATCTGAGTTTAATGTTAGTAATGTTAACGTCACACCAAGAACATATTCTAACATCAGAAAAACTATATCCATGCAGGAAATTCCAGCAGGTCCAAGCTGCAAGAAAGTCAAAATAGAAGCAGAGATCTCAAAAGGTCACTTAGATAAACAGCCAACTATTTGCAGCCTGCTAAGCTGGTTTCTCGGCACTCAGAATCAACGTAGGGAAGGAGAGATACGCAGGATATGTAAACGTAAATTTAGATTGGATAGAATTGGAAGGGGCTATCGTTCAATGGCAAAGCTACTAGTGTCACCTCTCAGGACCTCCTCTGAAGCGAAGGTGCGACGGTGCAGCAAGATCAGGAATGCCCGAGAAATTTCAGGTTGAAGTCGAGGATAGTTACGCTTTCTAAGAGAAAATAATCATTTTATATTTTACTTTACTTTATAGCCATATAAAGTAGCCGAGTTAAGTGAAAATATTTTTCCTAAGCAGCAAATTTATGTGATATTAACGGAGTGCTTTCTCAATTAGTATTAATTAATTAATGGGTATGTACTACTTGATAAGGCATTCATGATTGTATGAAAGTTATAATTTTTATATTAATCCCAAAGTCATCTAAATAGAGTTTAATTAATAATGATGGTTTGACCTGGTTTTCGCAACTTGCCGTACATAGACTTTGTGAACCTCGTCTAGTCACGTGTTCTTTACCCTACTATTCATGATTTTCACCATCTGAACATTGACTTGGTATATTCCCAAAAGTTTCGCCGGCATCGTCAGGGAGAAGCGCCATTTTTACCACGGAGTTACAATTTCTCAAAGTGACAATTGAGACCAATCCCTGACCAATTTTCTGTTCAACAGTTGTGGCATCCTACTTGGCCCCAATTTTTTCCTAGCCTCTAGTTTTACATCTCTTTCTCAAAACCAAACTTTATATAGAAGTGGGTTGACCTCGTTGTCGCAAT